GATCCCGCCGGATTCCGCTCGGCTCCCCCAGACTGTTTGAGACCGCGAGTCCTTTTCCCGACGGGGTCTCCCCGCAGAACGTTCAGTGGTTGCCCCGACGCCTCGACGGTCCTGGGATTGACGCCTCTGGGAAGAAAACGGGGGTATCTCCCGACAACGCAAGCTCGGTCCCCAGGCTCCCGACTGGGTTCCCCTAGCACGGACTCCGTTCCTCCGGGCCACAGTGGGACTCCGCGCCGCGCGTCCCACGACAGCTTCTACTTTAGCACCGGCCCCTCTCTGTGTACTTAAAAGACTAGGACGACCCTGCTGAGCAAACCAGTCCCATCAATTTGCGCTTCTGAAGCCTCGGCCGGGTAGCCCGGCAGCCCGGTCGCCAAGTCCTTAATCCCCGGCTATTGAGCCCGAGTGTCTGCAGTCAGTGCGAATCTCACACACCCCCCACTGCTGTCCAGCGCGCATAGACTCCCTCCGCGGCCGCTGAGCTTTCTACTCTCCTGCTCAGGCGAGCACAAGGCCAACCCTGCTCCGTCGAACCAATAGAAAGCTCTGTGACGGGGTCCTTGCCCCATACCACGCCCACAGAGCAGGAAGGGGCGGGGCTTCGGGGAGCTCTTAAGGACGCTGCGCTCTCGATGGCACGAATCTGAATGTGCGGCTCTTGCGGTTATGCTAGGGGCCCCGTTTAGTCTCGTTCCCAGGGTGTTCTGGGGAAGTTGGCGCTTCGCAAAAGCTGCTGGCCTGCTCTCCTTTACACACACCTGGTCACCATCCGGCCCACCGACCGAGACCAGACAAGCCCTGTCCCAAGCACCTCCAGAAAGCACAGTTCTTGCATTCTTTTTCACACAGGCGCGCGCGCGCACGCAGACACACAAGCACACACACACTCACACACACTCACACACACACACTCGGGCGCGCGCACACACACGCACGCACACACACCCCACATACGCATACACATACTCGCGTACCAGCCGCAGAATCCCACTCTGTGCTCACTTCTGTGGCCAAATCAGTCTGCCTGCTCCTAGTCCAGTATCCACAGTCCGTTGGACCTTTCTGTCCACGAAATGCACTCCTTCCTTTCATTGACCACAACAAAAGTGTCAGTTCTGGGTGGTGGAGACTCGGAAAAAGTTCCGTGTCCAAAGGGAAAAGGGAGTTCATCTAGAGACCAAGCCTTTAAGAATCTCATCCCTGACAGTAAGCCCTGTGGGGGGCACCCCCCACCGCGCGGGTACACAGATTTAGAGTTAAGTCTTGTCTGAAGGCACACGAAAGGGCCTGGGGTAGGCGAGTAGGGACAGAAGGTCATGGCTATACAGAAGGGCTGGAGGGCAGAGAGGAAAAGAAGCAGAGCAGAAACCTTTTGAAAGAGCATAAGCGGGCATCTGGGCCCTGAGATTCGGGACTCCAGCCTTTCTCGGCCTCGGCCTCACCATCTGGGGCTTTGTCTCCCAGCCCTGGCCCATTCTCTCCGCCCCTCCTTGTCTCTTTGCTTATAATTTGGCTCAATCCCATAGCACAGACCCTCCGGTCTGACCTACTCGCCTTCTTCAGGTCCCAGCGGACGTACCCACGTGCCAATGTCTCCCCCTGCTGGCCTTCTATAGAGTTGCGGGCTCCCGGGACAAGCCCAGGCCTCCTACCCAGAGCTTGACATACAAGCCTGGCACTTGAATTAGAGCACACAAACAGGGACAGGCCTGGCATTAGCAAGAGCCGTCCCTCGGTGTAAGAAAGATGGAAAAGAGCTAGGGGGAAAGATCTGGATTTGGGACTTGGTTTGGGAATTGCCAAGGATAGAAAGACTTGCTGTTAATGCTCTTCCTCTCTCCCCTTCTCGGCTGCCTACTCTTCCTCTCCACTTTTCTTTCTCTTTTGAATGAATCCGGGTTCGAACCTAGGGCCCCAGACTTACTAGGCAAGGGATCTATGAGGAATTAAGTTCCAGCTCCTCCTCACCGCTTTTCTATGAAGATAATTGGCTGAGCACCTTTCCATCCTCTCCCTTGATGGGAGCTGGAGCTACCAAGTAGTCTTTCACCGCATGGTCTAATGATCTCTGTAGTTGTAGTGGGGACATCTATGTAAGGGAGCGTAGGAAGGAAGAAGTTGAGCCCTTCCCACCTTTGGAAATGGAGACCTTGCAACACCCAGTGGCTCTGGGTACACAGTCTAGGGTCTCTGTGTTCCCAGATGACCTCTGCACTGGGATGTAAGCAGAGCAGAGAGACATGACAAAGGGAGAAAGACACATCAGCCATCCACCTGAGAGCCATGCCATCAAGAGGACACCACGAGTGACTCTGAAAAGCAATTAGCTGCTTGCAAAGTGCCTACTAAGCATCAAGAGCCACGTCGGATGGTTTTCTTTTCCCACCCTTTGAAATTGTCTCTGCTATCCCTGTTTTTACTTAAGAGGGACACTAAGGCTAGGATTGAAGAAGCAAGCGGCTTATCCCTGAGGAAAGAGAACTCAGTTCCTCGTGTCTCTATCCCCAGTCTCCTTTACATTAGCACTCTGGTGGACAAGGACATTTCTTGGCCATTCTCCTGACAATCCAGATGGACACGCTTGCAGCCTCTCCATGCTTACTTGCTCTCCTTGGTTCATTGGGAGCAGTGAGCTGTGTAGTGCCTGAAAAACAACCGCCCCCAGCATGGCCAGACCACTGCTCTTCACTCATAGGTCCCAGAAGGTCACCAGGCCTGGGAGAGGTCACTTTCTTTGTCGCCAAGCTAAAGTTCTTCTCAGACAAGATTACCAGGGCTAAGCCAAGATTGGCCTCAGTCTTCCTCTCCCTGACCAACATGTCCTGTGCCCCTCCAGAGGACAGTCCCAAACTAAGTGGAAGCTTCAGGAATGTGACTTTGCCACCAGACTTGGGGAAGCTGGGACGACAGTAGTTTCTGAGTGTGCCAGCATCTAATTCTGGGAGGAGGGGACAGTGATGGAAATGAGGAGAGGACTCATTGCTCCACACATTGCTCACCTCTGGTCATGGCATGGCCTGCCCACGCTAGCTATAGGAACTCCATGCTAGCTATAGGAACTCCATGCTAGCTATAGGAACTTCAGGGACATGGCCAGACCCAGTCTCTGCCTCAGCCAGAGCTGCAGCTGAATGTTCCCGCCCATGCCTGACAATGGCAGGTTCTCGATTGGTTGTAGTGATCCAGGTTCCCGACTGGGGGGAAACAATTATTCCCTAAGGGAAGCCCCAGAGGCCTGTGGGGAATGCTATTCTCCTATCCAAGCCCTTGCCAATCCACAGACTGCACAGCCCAACACTCACAGGTCACTGTGTCAGCACACACACACACACACATGCATGCCTGGGGCCAAGACCTCTAGTGTTTCCTGAGTGCTGGCCAGGCGAGGGATCTGAACAAGCCTTGTCCATGGGGGTGCCAAGCATTGTGGGGCTTCAGGCCCAGGTGTGTAAAAAACATATGGTAGCAGCAGGAATCCTCAGACATTGGGCAGCATGTATACACACACACACACACACACACACACACACACACACACACCATGGAGCTGTGCCTTCTGGTCCCAGATGCTCACACCCATAGGAAGGAAGGGGTGTCTAACTTTCAGCTCTATCCCCTTGGGCAAATCACCTCACCCCTGTAGGCTTCTTACCGTTCTTTGGCCTGGAGGTCATTCCTCCTTCACAGCCCCCTGCCAATACTGAAGGAGCTAGTGTGAAGACAAGGCTTAGCCTCTCCCCTGGCCTACCAGGGGGCTTACTAAATGGAAATTCTGTTCTTCCATAGAGCCTCTCATGGAGATACTCTCATCCCTAGTGGCACACATTTGCACAAGTTCACACATGTTTTGTGTGCCACACACAAACTTTCCAATTCCTCTATAGTCTTATACACACACATCCACACTCACATACAAACTCTCCCTCCTTGCTGAGTAGCAGCTGGCAAGGTGAAGTTCTGCAGGCATCTAGAGTCCAATCCTCTGGCGCTGGTATTAATTGTGCCTATACTGGTGCAAACGTTACCTCCTTTCTCTTTCTGAGGGTCTTGTCCTTGACCTCCCTCACCCACCTTAGACACAGAGCAGGGAAGCTATTCACACAAGGCCACACTGCCAGAAGTCAGGCCATCTGGACAAACAACTTGACTTTCTTTCTTTTTTCTTTTTCTTTTCTTTTTCTTTTCTTTTTTTTTTTTTGTTTTTTTGAGACAGGGCTTCTCTGTGTAGCTTTGGAGCCTATCCTGGCACTCGCTCTGGAGACCAGGCTGGCCTCGAACTCACAGAGATCTGCCTGCCTCTGCCTCCCGAGTGCTGGGATTAAAGGCATGCGCCACCACCGCCGGGCACAACTTGACTTTCTAATCACCTATCTGTGGCTATCCCAGGGCTCTGGGCTGAGGAGTGGCGTTTTGATGAGCCACCAGGACAGGCCAGAGGTAATACCTGGAAAAGCAACTGAAGGAGC